TGTCTGGGCGTGTTTGTGTTGGCTGCTGTCGCCCTCACACACCCAAGCAACCTTTCAACTTTATTTATTAAAAGTGCTTATTACTTTAACACTTGAGCGCGATTTAACACGATTTGCTCAAGTATTTTCGTACGACAACGAGGACACATTCCGGGGTTCTCGTTCGCCAAAGAGCAAGCGAGTGTCAAGGTATGTCTCTGTCTGGGCCAATTGTCTGTCCGTCTGTCTGTCTGTCTGTCTCTGCTCGAGTGTCCTGTGCCGGGTCCCCGTCCGCCCCCCAGGATCCTTGAGTATTTAGCTTACCTACCGAACACCGAAAGCAGTTTCATCTTTTTCATGTGCAGCGAGCAGCTCTCCCAAGGAAGCAGCTTCATCATTTTTACTCTTTTTCCACACTCACACTGAGAAAAACAAATTTAGTTCGGATAAAATACAAAAACCAATAAATAACCATATTTCATATGCGGTGAAATAACACAGCAGTATACACTTGCTTGTTTACTGACATTATCAAGGATAATTCATAACTTACTAAAATTGGTTTCGTAATTAAAAACATTAAACTATCTTATTTTAAAGAAATTTTCCAAATTGTTTTGTCAAGGCCTAACTAAAATATGTCTGTAAATAATTTAATTAAAAACATAAATAAGCTAAATCTTAAACAAATATTTAAATGTGCTTTACTGCTTTTATTAATAATTCTCGTAAATATATTAATGCAGGTGTAAAAATTATTTATGACTTCATTAAATTATAAATTTATTGAGTACACCTACTTCTAAACAATAGTTTGAAATCGTTACAAATTTAAACAGTTAAATAATCAAAGTGTGGTTTTGTGAAATTTATAAAAAAGATTTGAGACCTAAAGCCATTTTAAATTTACCAAGTAATACTGACTAATAAAAAATGATTTAAAGTAGTTGAATGTCGAGCCACAAAAAAGACCACCGAATTAAATGATACTTCTCTCTGTGCACCGACAGTTGTCCTTGGCTCCTGGCTCGGTGTGTGTGTGAGGTAGGTCCTTGCTTGCTCTTCAACGCCTGACTGTTGGCTGTAGATCGACTTGACTGCCTTTATCTTCAGCTCCAGCCCCTTGCCGCTGCCACGCCCCATTCCGAGTTGCTATCATTGCCAGCACTTTGCTGGGGTTTGCCAGTGGTTTTTTCTGGGGTTCTGGGGCCTGCCCCTAATATTGCCCTTGACTGTTGTCAACATGTTCAGCGTATTTGTTGTTCGAGTTGTTCCTGCCGCTCCAGTTGTCGTTGCTGCTGTTGTTGTTGACTTTAAGTGTGTTGATTTCATACAATTAACTTTTTGTCTGTTTGTTTTGTGCGACTTCTGCTGGCGTTCGCTCTAATTTCCTGCTTCGTTTTCTGGGGGTACGTCGAGAAAGTCACTGACATCGTTTGACAGCCACGTGAGCTTTAACAAGCTGGGGCAAAAACGGCAGAAATGAATCCGACCGCAACGTGGCGGATACGCAACGTGGATTGTTTTTTTTTTCTGGCCGCGCTGCAGCCAAAGCAATCCGGAAAATTTAATATTTATTTTTATGTTTTTGATTTAATTTTCCTCTTTTTCAACTTTACGGTCATGTGAGAGTGTGTGCGGTGGCCGCGGTCATGAGGTTTTGCGCTGTTGCTGCTTTGGGGATTTATGAAAAATTTAGTTTTTCTTGTTATTTTTACTGCTCTGAGGTGATTTTTATTTTTATTCTCATCGCGGGGCGCGCGTTAAGTTGCCTTTTTATACCTTTATTATTTCTCTTTCACTTTTTACGATTGTGTGTGTGCGAGTGACTGTGTGAAATGTCGTTTATTTTAATTTGCCCGACGTTCGTGGAGCGGAGTATTTTAATTTATTTTAAACCCATACACGTACTTAACTTTCATCCATTCTTCGAACGCATTAAAGTTCTGACGTTTTCCATAAATGCCTAAAAACTCTCCGCGTCAAGGCTATATTAAAATTAGCATTTTGACCAGGCCCACAAATCTCTGCTAATTTATAGCATTTCCTTTATATATTTTGGGCCATAAAAAGCAGATATATAAACTTGCTCCTCGGTGATTAATGCGTCATAATTAGAATTGCGGGCTGGGTACATGCATAATTCCACGTGGCAACCCTATAAATCATGCCCCGGTGAGTGTGTGCCGGAATCTAGCCACCAAATTCGGGGCTGTCTGTCAGAGACACTTAACTTTCGTGTTGGCAGGTTCATCGCCAAAGTGTCAGCACGCAGATAGCCACCCACAGGCACACCCAACCTGCACCCTCTCAGCCAAAATAAATGCGTTATGCGTGCGCTTAAGTGCTCATTAATTTGGAATGTCAAACTATGTTGACTAAGGCAAACGTTCCACGTTTAATCGCTTTGAAGGGGGCCTGGCCTGCTCTATGCCGCATCCCAGTCAAATTGATTTAGAAGAGCCTCATAAAAGCAGCCCGGTCAACATTTAGTCCTACAGGCATACACCCTCTCCCAAAAATACAGGACGACATCAGGTGGAGGACTTCACGTAGCAAGGCCTCTTCAATTGAGATATTTGCAAATGTTGCTGCTGCTTTAAAGCAGAGAAAAAAACCTTTTTTTTGCCAATAAAATTAAATTGGTTTTTAGTGTAGCCAAAGTACTATTATTATATTATATACGTCTCGTTATTTGGTCAACATGTAAAAATTGAAAGAAACACAAAAAAGACAACAGTTTATTATAAGTACGATTTTATCTTAATCTTAAAATCCTAATCTTATCTTAAATTAAAATATTTATAACTATACTGATTCAAGCGCATTAAGATAGGTATTTTATTATATCTTTATATTATTTTTATTATTATTTATTGTTAAATTTATATTGAATTCTAATGTAATATTTACTCATTTAACATTTTATGATATTTTCTCCAAGTGCTTTGAATTCCAGCCATTTTGCCCAGTGATCTCCTGACTAAAGTCTGAAAAAATCCGGGCAGTCCAAAAGCGATGCGGGCCGACTGGCCAACATGCAACTGAAGGCTGTCGACGTGCCTTCTTTGCGGTCAGTTGTTGCACGTTGCAGGGTCCGAAGTCATTCAGCCTCTATTAGGCTGCTAATTGAAATACCAGTACGAGGATTGGAGCATCCAGTCCAAAGGTTAAATGTTGCCGGAGATCTCGATTTTCCGGCAAAGCGAAGTGAAAGATACGGGAAGTATAAACTAATTAAGAGTTGCAAGCGCTGCAAAGGCAATTGAACGATAATTAATTAAATAGTGTTCGATTTGGGACACAGATTTCTACTCCTCGGAGTTTTTTTAAATGGAGTTCATTTTTGTAGTCTGTCATTTGCCTTTATATAGAAAAAGCTGATTGGTATCTCTAGCCAATATTAAAAAGGTAAAGCATTAACATGGTTATTTTCCTTTTTATTTGAATTATTTTAAAGTATTCTTCAATTCGTGCTATAACGTGCTATTTATATAAAAAACGTATTTTCAGTTATGTGAAGCAGTTTTTAACATCAACAAGCGTTGCGCGTGGTGGTAAAAAAAAGATTTTTTTTAGTAATGTGTTCGTGACTTGGTTATTTGTTAATAAAAAAACATGCTTTTATACAGAATTATTTGATAAATTTTCATTTTCAAATATGTTGTGCGTAAAAATATAATATAATATGAGTGTTTTTCCAGCCCAACAAGTTGTATCTAATTAAAAAGGATCTATTAAAACGAGAAAAAAAGAGGCATTACATAGGAAGTCGGGCTGGCATGCTTAAATAATAAAATAAAAAATGTATAACGTTTTCCCCAAACCCAATTTGGATCTCATCGTGCCAGCAGCATAATTATCTCACGTTTATGACACAAGCCTTTGGCAGCGATGTTTTATTTTTTTCACTTCTGTTTACGTGCTATGCAGTTGGGATTCCATCATTAGGAATTAAGCAAAAGTCAGTGGCGGAAGCTAAGTACTTGTCAAGTGATGATGATGCCGGAGTTCTTTACAAGGCCAAAAGTTTTTAGAGTATGCGGGTTATTTTGCAACTTCCCGACCCCGTCGACTCCATTCAACTTCGGTTCGCTTCGTTTCGCTCTTTTTTTATTTATTCTTCCTGTCGGTACTGCTGTTGCTACTGCTACTGCTACTGCTGCTGCATCCTTAAATATTTTCTCTTTAATTAAAATTTCAACAAGCCAGACTCCCGGCGAAAGAGACAGAAATTGTGGGGCGGAAAGAGAGGGGTGATGCAGACATGCCCGCATAAATTAACTTTTGCGTAGGTGACTGTGCGCACGGTTTGTATGGAGTTACCCGGGTCTTTGGAATACGGAATACGGAGCGTGGTAAGCTGGGCGTAAGTGCCTTATCTTAATGCCCCGCCATATCTGGGGCCTAATGCATATAATAGGCCAGGCCTGCTATTTAAAGTCTAACAACCCTTTTTATATGCAAATTGTTGCGCCACACGTACACGCCCCAACGCCTACCGCCACCCCCTTTTTTTTTTTTTTTTTTGCGCCCCTCCCGGTTGACTTTCCCATCCATGCCCGGCAACTTGACATTTTTTTAGATACTCCACGGTGAGCCCTCCACCCCCTTTTAATTTCCCTCATTTAAACATTTTGTGAAAAGTCATATATACACTCGTACGGGTGAGCATGAGCTTTTCTTTTGGTGGGCGGTATGCGTGAATTACGTTTGAACTTTTTACAGAGCTCCAGCTCACCCGGTGTGTGGGTGTGTGAAAAACGTTAAAATAATTTGCAATTTAAATAGTTTTAATTAACTTTCACTAATTTGCTGTCGCTCAACTTCCACAAGTTGGCAAACTAATTTTAAAGTGATTTATTATTTAAACAGCTTGATGATTGGCAAGAGCCAAAAAGAGCCAAACTGCCAACGGCCTAATTAGGTAGAGATATAAGGGTTTACTCTTTTTTGGCTGTGTGGTCGTCTCTTTGACAATGGAAAATTGGTGCAAATAGGCTTTGGCAGTTGGCCCAAAATAGGAGGTTCAGGTATTGGAGGGCACTTTATTCGCCACAATCAAATAAACAGCGTAAAAAAATGAAATGATTTGTCCTAGGTCACTATAATACATTCTTCGTATGTCCAAAAAATCGTCGATAGGCACCCGCCTGATCCGTAGGCAAAGGTATGATTATACCTTCTGACCAGGTAAAGTCCCAGCAACAACATAAGCAGGATCATCAGCAAAAGAAAGCCAGTTGCAATCTCTTCGCAGCCAATGCTTTTACGTAATCTAAAAAAAATTTATCAGATTTACTTTTACAACAGTTTATGACAAAAAGTATAACTTGAATTTTAGATGCTAAATAGTTAATCTGGCTGAGCTAGCGTTTCGTCATTAAAGTATCCTTAGCCGTTTCAAATTTTAGGATCAAGTCCTTAACATTATTACAATTATTATTACAACATTATTATAACATTTAGTATTTTCCCACGACATGTTCACGTTTTCAATAATGCTAAGGACAATAGAGTTAAATTAACTTTAAAGATGAAACAATTTTTTTTTTAATCTTTACATTGCTGTAATAATTAATCGCGAGCTAAGCCATAAAAACACAAATGGATTTTGCCTGCTTTCGATGAGAACATTCAGTATCCGCGGCACAGTTTGCGATTTAAATTCGAAACCAACAGAGTAAATAAAAGAGCATAACTAAAAATTATATCTGACTCACATACCGGTATTCTTCGATCATACATTGCGACCTGGGTTGCATGATTAGGTTATCGCGGTGTCGACTTCTGGCCCTTTCCACCGCTTGACGGGCCCCATCGCCCAGCTTCCGGCGGTACTTAGTGAAGATATCAGTCACACTATCCCGGGTTCGTCCCACAATCACCCGAACTGGCGTACGTTTTTCGGAGCAAATGCTGTTACATGTTGAAATACCCATTTCTTTTGATTTTAGGCTGTTGTTGGAGGTAACAATTAATATTATTTCAATTAAAGACAATTTATAGTTCCAAATTGTAAACAAAAAATAATGAAAGGCTTGTGACAAGATATTCACATATATTGGTTTTTGAGTAACCTGACATTATAGAAACTCATACCTTGATAAGTAATAACTGTATACGAGGTTGTAGAAAGTATATGCATTTTATTTATCACACAATTTATGTTATATTTTTAATAAAAAAGCTATAATTCCCATTGCACCTGCGAAGAAGTGCAGCCGTAAGTAAATTATGATTGTCCACTTAGATCGCGGGCAGGACATCTTAAGCCATTCGTTGTCTGACCCAAATTAATAACATTATGCAAATTTAAATGCGAACCCATAAATCAACGCATCGAATTGCCACGAAATAAATGCGCGCCCCAGAAAGCAAATAATGGCAGAGTCATTAGATAAATTTATTTCGAATTCCACACAAACAGTGGCAAATTGAAAAAAGACAGCGGCAAATGGCAACAACATCGGCTAAAAAGATAAGGGGGAAATCGATAGCAACGGGCAAATTGAAACCGAAAATTTACAGTAATCAGCATAATATAGAAAACCGCCATTAAAATCATTATGTACCAAGTTTAATGCCTATTTATGGCTGATTTCAATTTAAGTAGGGCCAACCCCCACCCCCACCCCCTTTGCAAATCAAACAAATAGGAATATACACAGAGAAATACGGAAAACCTGCTGGCGTTAATTTCCAATAAAAAGCCGCTCTGCAAAAAGTAATTAACAACAAATTACGAAACCGTAGCAAACAACAACCGGCTGAACAACCGCCGCAACCAACACACTTAAAGCTAATTAAATTTTACGCTATTCCCCCAACAAAAGTTCCCCCTCTCGCCACATTCCATAACTGATTGTTGGCAATAACGACAACCACAAAGAACCGAGGACCACAACATCTGGCATGAGTAGAGCCAAAAATAATATGTATAGTATAAAAATGATCAAAACTTTTGGCATTCATTTAAAAGAACGCTCGCCAGTCGTTCAATGAAATCAAATAAATTAAGCGCTGACCACCAGCCAAACACAATTTGAAGCCACCTAATTGATTTGCCAATAAAGTTCACAAAGCTCCAGCGACCACCGCAAAAAGGACTCTCCGCATGAAAGGCGAGGCCCCACAGCCTGTAATTTGTAACCGGCCAACTGCAGGAGCCAAAGTAATTGACGCCCCGCTCGTGCACACACGTTCAGGCGAACCCATACATATGTACATTAATTACCGCAAAGTAAAGGAAGCCGAAAGGTGGAAGGACTCTGGTCCAATGCCAGCAGCTCTATGACGACTCTGACGGCTGGCCAAAAGCCATTTGGGCCCAGCCGAGCGAAACTAATGTGCAGCGGCCAGTTGAAATGTCATTCCTGTGCAATTGTTTCTGTCGCCGTAATTTCCTTTTGCAATTCTTCTCGATTAAAGACACAGCATCGCATCTAAGCGAAATGTCAGGTATCTGCCAACTAAAATATAAAGACCAATATTGGTTTTTATGATTATTTTTTGGAGGTAATGGCATAAAGAAATTTAAGAAAATGTATACAGAAATTAATAATTTCCACTGAGAATTAGACCAGAAAAGGCAGATTGTTAGTAGCAATGTTATAAAACTAAATTGAACTGACCTTGCAAAATGTTTACACAAGTTGTTAAAATTGTTTATGCTGCAAGCGCACTTCTACGAAAACAATCCAGTCGGAAATACGTTCTCTATTGAGTACTCCTTTTAATAAGACATCAAAATGGCTGCAAAAATGAACAACCATTGGTGAATTGCCGCAGTGGCGGCAAAAGTTGACCATCCCGCCGTTAGAAATCGAGTGCTTCGTTGGCGCCCCGCAGCTCGAATTGCAATCATATTAAAGGCCGAGCCCCAGTGCAAAACATTTGATGCCAAAACAGCGCGAACATGTGGCCTGTTGTATGCGGCATGTGGCGCGAACAGGCGGATTGGCTGCGATCCTCCGAGCTAAACTAATCATGGCTACCCATCAACTGCGCGGTGGCCAAAGCGAGAAAAAATCCAGAGAAACCGTAACACTTTGCCCGGGATTTGCATTTCCCCAGGAAAATGAGGGAGCATTGTGGCCAGAAAGAAGGCAGTCTGGCTGAAAGCGAATGCTGCCAAATGCTAATTTCCTGGCTGAAAACTTTTTGGTCATTTGCTTTATTAACGACAAAAGATGCAGAGAAAGGCAAACCAAGTCTTAACCCATTTAAAGCGGGTCGTCTTAATACATTTAATTTTTTAATAAATTTGTGAGGCTTTATAAGTTACTGATTTTAATTAAATTTTGACATTTCCCCAGTATTGGCTTTGTTTTTAGTTTGTAGTATATCTGTTTCAGCTTATTGTATACCATATCTCTTAAGTTATAAAATATTTATTTGTTTCACATTCGCCTTTCCGAACATTGAAACAAATATTGTCTGAGAGGGTTAATCGAAATACCAAGGTTTGAATTAAATTTCTAAGATGCTGGATGTGGCTCGAAGTGCACACCCGCCTCCATTCGGGCTTTGCATAACTCATTAATGGCAAAAGTTTCTGGTGCTGACACTATCTGTGATGGAGATATGCCCCCCAATGGCCACAAAAGACGGGGCTCGAAATCCAAATCCGAACGGATAGAGAAACGAGTTGGAAATGGCTTAACTAAGGCAAGGGTCAAGTGGGGCATTTATCAGGCCAGGGATTGCACAATATGGCCGCATAAGGCATGACCATCATCATCAGCATGAGCATCAGCATCAGCATCTGCATCAGCATTATGCTTACGATCATGTGCTGCATGTACGCAACAAGAATTAATTGTGCCCACATGCAACAGGAAACGAGACCGAAACGGATCCAAGCCCTTGCCGCAAATGAGAAACTTGGACAATCGCATTCACACATTCTCGGCCATAGACAATTGAAACTTTTTGCTTTTTGTTCGAGGACGAGTCCGAGAACGAAAATGAGAACGGCAACGACTACAATTCTGGTCGCATTCACATTCGAGCACATGAGCTTTTCTTCTTGGCCGACCAGCTTGACATGCGTTCGCAGGACCCCTCATCTTCACTTTTCCACTTTTCCACTTCTCCATTCCTATGTGCCAAAGCATGCGTTTGAGCACTGAAAAGAATTGAATAACTTTGGCACTACGATTGCTTTTCTGGCAACAGCTGAATCAAAGAAATAAAAAAATCCAAAGAGAATAGTAATGTATACTTAAGTCACATTGAACAGTTCCCTAAAGCTAAGAATAGAGAATATTTAAAACAAAATTTTAAAAATTGGAATTCCTTAAGAAAATTTATTTATATGTAATGAAGACAATTTTTAATTGCTTTAGTTTATTAATAATGATCTATAGTAAAGCCCATGATTATTTTGTTAATTACGCAAATGCTTATAACATTCTAAAGCCAAAGAACCATTTTTTCCGACTGCATATACGTACATATAAGTTAGCCAAGCTGTTGGCCTGCTTGTGGTTGGTTTGCCTTCCAGCCATATATCCATCCATTCATTCAGCTTGACATGGCAGCTGCCTGGTCAGCCACCCGCACCCCCTAGATTGCACCTCTCCCTCAACTCGATTCCTTTCCGTTCAAAGAACTCTTGTTATGCTCGCCCTGCTTGCGGTTTTGTCCATGGCCAAATGCAACAGCGTCTCTGGGAGGTTGTGGGTGGTGGTTGCTACTACAGCTGAGTGGCAAGACAAAGCTCGCGTTGCAGTCGTAGACGTACACTGTAGAAATAATAAACAAAACTGGTTTTCAATTAGTTACTATTTCTTAAGGCATCAGGGAATCGGTAGTTTTAGACTTCTTTGGATAGTTAAGTCGTGTTCTAACTTTTGTCAAATTAAGGATAAGATTTTATGTTATGCAACCTAGGTGTTAATATGGGTTTCAAGAAACAATTAATCTTAAAAATACAAAATTTTCAATACATTTATCAAGTAATTAAGCTTATTTTGTATGTATAAACGTGTTTTGACAGTTTTTAAAATTTTTAATATAATTCAGGTAAAAACAAAAACATTTATATTTATACAAGTTAAAATGTTTGTTAATTATTCTTATGTTTTTTTTTTGTATGTACAGTCTTTGACGAAGTCTCGTAGTCACAATCGGAGTCAGTTGAGTGCCTTTGTTGCGGTTCATTCAGTTGTATATATGGCTCGGCCAAATGTCCTTACCGTGGCTCGTGGCTTGCTGCTCGGCTTATGGCTCTTGGCCTGGTGCTGGTCCGGGTCCTGGGCCCTCTGCTCCTCTGTTCTGTCGCCTCATCGGGGCTGTCGCATTCTTCAATGTCTCCTTTTAGTAGCGTCATGGGCATCATACTTTGTATTGAAAAGTTTTCGCGCGCTACTGACAGCAGCTGAATGCAGCTGAATGCGAAGTCTGCCTTTTCTTTCCGCACATATACATATATTTAACGTCTTGGGAAACTTCGGCTTGTTTCGGATACCCCAATGAGCCAGTTAAGTGTGTTTCCGGGATCCTAGGTTGCCAATTAAAACGGTATTTGGCAATTTAAATTTTAAATATAATTTTTTGACTAAACTAAAAGGTTTTAAGCTGGTCATACTTTGACATTTTAAATAATTCTAGCTATATAGGTACATAAGATATATTTATATATTTATTAAATATAATTTTATATATATCCATGAACTTATATTAAATGTTATCAAGCCTTTACAGTTGTCAATGGGTTTACTAACGAAAATTAATTTGGTTTTAAATATTTTATTTTTATTTTTGACCCAAAAACTCATTTTAGTTCAAAGAACTTAGCTTGTTGGGTAAACTTTTTGTTGCCGCCGTCCACTGCAGTCAATGTGTTTCCTTACCTCTCTTTTTCTTGAATGTGTGTGTGTGCATTGTCCTCGTTGCCATTGTTTAATGGTCACATTAAAAATGCCTCATTGTTGGTTGTTCTGTTGTCGTTGTCAACTTCTGACCGCGCCCTTTGCACAATATTTTCCACTGCATTTTTCCCAGCCCCCTCCCATTTTCAGCCCTCCCCTTTTCCATTTCCATTTCCCTGCCATTTTCCTTTTCTTTCGGCCATGGCGCAGAAAAGTATGCAATACAAAATGCATGCCGGCAGCATTGGACTTTTTAGTGGCTTGCATTGCACTTTCTGTTTGCTCGTACCCTGTATGTGAGTGGATGTGTGGGTGTGTGGATGTGTGGGTGCTTGCACGTGAGTACATTAGCTGGAAATTTAAGGTGAGCACGTGTGTGTGCATGCTGCCGCACAGTGGGCATTTACAGCAAACAAAACATCCTTTGTGGCCATCGACTTTTCGTGGATTCTGGCGCAGCTGCCGCAGCAGCAGAGTCCTTCATGTGGACACAATGCCATATGGCAACAAGGTGCTGCAGCCTGCACTTTGCCACCACCCTCTTCTCGACCCGCTCTTTGGGGCATTGAAGGAGCTTATTATGGCATATGCCTTTCCACCCAGTGATGCTAAAAGCTAATCCAAAAACAGGACAAGACGTCTGCGAAAAAATGAACAAAAAGGTGAAATTCCTCATAAAATATTCTGCAAGCCAAACAGTAATTATTAATGTGTAACAAGAACAAAATCAAAATATAGAATGCGGAAGAAAAATAAAAAGTTTAAGTTATAGATTTGTAGCTCGTATTGTTACCCTAATAACAACATACTTTATGCTTTAAGTACATCTATAGGGGTTTTTTTATAGATCATTTATTAGCCCGTATTTTAATTCGTTTTAAACGGGTTTGTTTAAGATCAAGACTTTGATCCGTTTTTATTTGAAAGTAGTCTGTGTCAACATTGTCTACTATTTATTTCTAGAAACTGCAAGGCTTTCCCGAAATTGTCCAAGCTGCCATCACAGTTTGCTAAGTACACTCATGTTGGTATGTACTTTGATTGGTGGCTAAAAGGGGGAGGGAAAGGGGAGTCGTATTGGCAGAAGAAAGGAAGCTTATTTGAGTTGTTAACTGATGTGGGTGTGGCTCTGTTGGCTCCAGTAATAGTTTGTTGTTTGCCAGCCTCAGTGTGTGTGAGTTTGGGTCTGCAGGGAGAAATTAGATAATTGAAAATGAAACTGGAAATAATGAAGTTGCTGATCGAAGCTAAGTAAGCTTAAAAGTTTACCCCTGTCAGGCAAGAGAAAATTACTTCGAAATTGCCAATACGAAAGAATTACGAATTTTCGGACCATAGATAATCCTCAGCGACTTGGCACTGATGATTCAATTGTGAAAGCATTTCGGTAAGTTGCTGAAATAATTAAACAGAAATATGGATAAAAATCCACAAATCACGCAGCCAGCCGGATATGGCATTAAAATAATACATTAACTTCACCAAACGTTGCGTCGCCCACACAAAAATGTGATTAATTTAAAGGAAGGCATTTCGGTGGTGTAGGAAACTCACAAAGTTATTAACGGAGAGTCCCCGCCTAATACAATTCACGAGTAATAGCATTGTAATAAAAACAAATTTCCACAAACGTTTGGCCTAATTGTACGATGGAAAAAAAATGAAAGAATTACCCCCGAACGACCCCCGAACGGCAGCCGCCAAAAGAATTTTCCTGCGGCTTGGTGGGTGCTGACTTTTTGCGGGTACTGTTGCTCGTGCGACCAGCGTGACACAGAAAATTTCACAGCACTGCCAAAAGCAGCGAAAATCCCACACAAATTGTTTTGGCCAAGTAGTTGCATGTGAGTGGCGCATAAGGAGCCCCCTTGCCACCCTTTCCCCCCACTTCGCTAGCACCTTCTCCATAAGGTGCTGCTGGATCGTGAGGTTGACGTTGACGTTGCTGACTAAGGCGACGACAAAACACACGAACACAAGCCCCAGGCACACACAACTGCGACAATATAAACACGATAAGCAAAAAACTGCGATTTCCCCTTAGGGAAACGGGCCCCGTTTCACTATTTCAAAGCGGAGTGGGGGAGCTAATGGCGGTGAAAGCGGCGGAAAGCCAAGCACTGTGGTGCAGTGTTTGGAAATTTAGAAAATATAGCTATAAAGTTTAAATTACTTACAATAAATCCAGCTGCCATATGCAGTCACTCGATTATAAAAGTTGCTCTTAGAAAGGGACTGCAGCAAGCTAAACGAATAACAATAAAACACAATTACGTATTGAAAGGCCAACAGAGTTTTGATAGCAAGTAAGCTTAAAATTAAGAATTCGTATATTAACAATATTTAAATAAAACATTTAAATAATAGTAGTTGCTAATGCATATTACTTTCAAACATAAAAAATTAAACTTTAAAATATCAATTACGTATTGAAAGGCCAACAAAGTTTAATAACTAGTAAGCTTTCAAATAAAATTTCTTGTTATAACCATTTTAGGACATAATTTATATTATATTATACTTCGTGATAGAAAAAAGAAAGCAGAAGAAGTTTTTCAATAAAAAGAAAGTTTCAAATAAGTCCAAATAACACAAAATACTTTCTTTGAAACTTCTCTTAAATAAGTTATTATACAATAACTTTAACTCTTTTAGGTGTAATGGCGAAAATGTAGTATTTTTATGATAAGCATTTTATTAAGGTGATATTAAAAGCCAAAGACCTTAAAGATCTTTGGCAGAGCAAGGATAAGTTAATTAAAATAATATTTAACTTAAATCAACTTTATAAAACCCCATTAAGTCATTGAAAATATAGAAATTTGACAAACAATTATTTTGTGAGATTTTTCCTACAGTTGTGTTTTATAAAAAAAGGTTGTAAAGGTACTCAAATTCACCTAAGCCAAGTCCTTAGTGGCTTATTAAAGCCACGAGGGCCTGACCACAGTGCCATGAAGCCACTCCGCAGCAGGGGGCAAAAGGACTTCCTGTAGCTCGGGCTGCGATGTCTTAGTAACCATTTCCCCGGCCTGCAGCTCCCGCTTGAAAATGAGTTTAAGGGCCGAGACTCCAACGCGGGCCAAGACAAAATCCCACAATCAATCGGTCAGAGCCAGGAATCTCCTGGATCCTGGTTCCTGGATACCGTATCCCATGCGAACGTAATAATTAGAGAGGATAAGGAATCCCCTGGCGACGCCACTGGTCGACAGGCAATAGTGCAATGAGAAAGGTGAAAAAGCCAAACGGCTAAGAGAACCCAGCAAGTGGCCCCGTTGGTGTGCTTGTGTATGTGTGTGTGTGTGTGTGTGTGTGTGTGTGCTTGCGGTTTTCCTAAGCAGGGCACAATTAGTGGTGAAGCAGGGGGCAGGGAGTTGGGCAGTTAGCCCCATAAGTCAGTCACTCACACAGGCGAACCTGTAATTCGATTCGCGGCGAATGCGGGAGAAAGAGAAAGGCACTCTCTAAGAAAATTGGCTGCGTCGCCGAGGAAATTTAGAGTGGACAAAAGGTAGCAGTAGCAGCACCAACAGCAGCAGCAGAAGGAATGGCAGCGGGAAAGCCAGCTGAAAAGCCAGCAGGCAGCGCAGCTCGAAACACAATTCAAAAACACTTTGACCGGCAAAGTTGCCACACGGAATTTCTTCTTGTGCATCGGTAGACGCCGGAAAGTAAGCAAAAGTTTCGCACTTTTGTTTGGGCCAACTTTCTTGCCAGCGAGATGTTTTAATAAACTCGCCATCGAGTTCATTAAATTTGATTCAAGTAAATGTGTTTGTGCCACCGATAAGTGAGTGTTTTTCCCCGTTTTGCCGGAACACAAGTGGAGACAATTGCGGCTGATTGATAGACAATTAGCGAAAGTGGATGCTGCTGATGCTGCAAGCGGAGAGCAACAACTGTTTGTGCATAAATAACCCAAAGCAACAACCGCCGGCCCAAGTGTCATTAACCTAATTGCCGCGAAAGAAGCCACCACACCACATTGGCCCAACCGAAAAAACCCACGGCCATAAATACGAGGAGCAAAGGAAGCAACGTGCAACGTGTTGCAATAAAAACAAATTTGCATAAAACAGGTAAAACCCAAGCCGCCACCCCAAAAAGGTGAAAAAACCATTAAAAAAATCAAGAAAAAGGGCTCACGAGTGAAAATTCTCCCCTGGCCAAGAAATATTTATTTTTTGTTGCAATTGTAAAATACACGAAATTCCAATGCAGTGGAAAGGACTTGGATCCCGGGCTGTGTGTGTGTGTGCGAATGAATGGTTGTAACCTAGCTGTGTGTGCCTGTGTGAGTGCCGGGTGGTCAAAGACACAAAACACCGATGCCACTTAAGCCAGGAGTCGTCGGCTTGTTTCCTGCCGTCTGCAATTTTTCGGTGCTTACCACTCGTTGCACTGCTGAAAATGCTAGAAAACTAGGCACAAAAATGTTTTTTTTTAATAAAAACTTAAGCATAAATTCATAAACTTAGACTTTTTAATTTGGCGGTTACATAAGCTGTTAAAAAAAATCCAATATTCTTAGTGAAACATACAACATTTTTTACCTTATAGGGAATATTCAAGTAAGGAATAGATGTTAAATACCTTTATCCTACACGGTTATTTAAATCACAAATCACAGTTGCCTTATGTGTCAACGATTTTAAGCCAGAAAAGCCTGCCTAAATTGCTTAAATGCTTAATACATATATTCATACAAGATATATAATATTTGAATCAATGCAATAGTTGACATATACTTTTTAAATCTTACTTGATTAAAGGGAAAAATACATTGATTTTATGATTTTAAGCTTTAGACCATGTTTACCGCTCACTTTCAAGTGTATTTTTTTCCAAATTGCGAGGCAAGGCAGGGCAAATAATACGCGATATTTTGGGCCTCTCCAGCGGACGAGGAGCAGCCTGAACTGTGAGCTCGGGACTCTGTCCATATCCCCTGTCCCCCGACCCGCAGAAGTGTGAATGTTTGTAGTGCCCACGCCGAATGGTTGAGTGGGGCTCTTTGGCCTGTTTACTGGGACAAAGGCAGTGGCAAGTGCTCGCCGGACATCCCATTGAATCGTCCTGTGGAGTGCCGGAGTTGTGAGGGAATGAGGGGGAGTCCTGCACGAGGAGGGACTCTCAAGTGCCCTGGGCAATGGGAGCATTGGACACATTGCATCGAGAGCTCGTTTCATATCGATTGAACAGAGGGCGAGGACATGGTTAACAGTTGATATTTCTAAGTGCAGTGCTTGAGAAGAACAAGGAGCGGAACATATGTATGCAATGTTACTTGATTATGGTGACATAAGATAGAGAATTTGCACCCAAAATTTGTTCACTAATTTGACATATTTATCAATTAAATATTTTGGTATTTTGTTTTAACATAATAAAATAAAAACAATAAGAAAAGAAAAATAAAATGTTAACGTTTTTAATTTTACAAAGCTCAGACTCAGTCCCTCTGTTTTTTTTTTTAATCTTGAATACATAAAAATTTGTAAGCAACTTAAATTTTTTTTAAATTTATTTTAAAAGATTAATTGAATTAATATTGTCCTAAATTACCGTAGTAAAATCACATTAATACTCAGTTCAAAATACACTTCAAAATACAATGCAAGATTACAGCTTTTGAGTGGCTCTTAACTCCCCTTATATTTGTGTTGCGATTTCTTAAGCATTGTTCATATTACTAAAGACTTGAAAATTTTCAAATAAATTATTTTGCATTTCAGCTAGCAACTTAGCACCTCGCTGGACAACCAGCGACTGCGGAGTCTAACAAAAACTTAAAGAAGTGGCCAACCTCCTGGAGCTCTAAGTTTTGCATTGCGTCGACGCGACGCTGCCCTTAACGATTCCTTTTGACCACAACAAACCGAGCACGCAAGGTGCCAGTGAAAGCGCCTTAAGAGAACGCTGACGTGACTGGCTGCGCAGCAGGACACACACCAACACCAGGACAATGTCCCACGAAGAGAACGACGACTACTTGGCCAGCTTGAGTCAGGCCCAGACCGCCGAGGAGGAGGTCGATGGTGGAGGCGCTTTAGCGGCTGGCAGTAACGAGTCCGTTCTGAACGGCCAAACAATGCCACAAATTAGTCCGAACGCACCGCTCGAGGGAAACGTTTCGCCGCCACCGACGCAGCCCCATTTGGACGATAATCTGCACAACGGCAACACCAGCGCCAGCAGCAACATCAACAAGCACGCCAGCAACAGCAACATCAACAGCAACAGCAACATCAACGGCAACGGTCACGACAGCAACCGCAGCAGTCCAGCCAAGAGTCCCAAGCGGCCTGTGTCCTCCAGCTTCCGGATTCAGAACGCCCAGTACGATGACGAGACGGAGGATTTAGCAGCCGGCGAGCAGGTGGCAGGCGGAGATCGGTGCCAGTTGCCGGACTACTGGCAGCAGCGGAACGGAGGCGCAGGAGCAACCAGTGGGCGGCAGAGTCGCGCCCTCAGCCCCCCCGGCTATCTGGACAACATGAGCGAGAACTCGGAGCAGCCGCCGGTGGTGCCGCTGGTGCGGTCCAAGTCCCGACCGGAAATCTCCAGTGCTGCGGCCGCGCGATACAACAACCTTTCGTACTGGAAGGCCCGCCGGGTGGTGTTCTA